AACTTCCACCACTGCTTATTATCTTCCAACACCTGAGAGGGGAAAAAAATAAATTTGCTGGTGAGAAGAGCAGGTTTCTGGCACACCTAAACGGCATGTCGTGGAAATAAACCACACAGGAACGCGGAGTTGGCAGAGTAACGTCGTCGAGGCCAGGAGCTGGCAAACAGCTCTGTTGCACCCATTTGCAATGCAGGACTGAAGCCTTTCCTGAAGCGCGTCAGAACTTACCCTGATGCTGAACAGGGGAGCATCTCTGGGGGACGAGAGACCTGGGGTGTGGAAGAGCTCATAGTTCCTACTTAATTTGCCTGTTTCTCCAGGTTTTTTTTTCTTCAGTGACTGAGTTTGTGTTGTCTTTTTGTATTAAAAAAAAAAATAAATCAAGAGCAACTCCTGCCACAGATGCCAGCATGTTATTGTATAACTTGATCACGTGCCACGTCGTAACACACAACGTGATCACCTCGTAACCACGATGTGGCCAGGAGAGGAGACTGCCCTTGCTGAGGTACCTCCTGTTGTACCTGCCCCCCTGCTCCTTTCAGCGGGCTTGTTTTTACCTGGAACTGTGATCTTTTTCTTTAGTTTTTTTTAAAGTAACCTTCCCAGGTGGTTGAGCTTTGCTGGCAAGACCCACCCACATTTCTCATTCTGCTGCATTTTTGAACAGAAGTCTTATTCTCAAGACATAGGTCTGTTGCAGTTAGTGTGTAGACCAAGTCATGTCCTACATTCTCCAGCTGCCACCGGTGCTGCAGTAAGAGAAAGGTTATGAAACAAGATGTTTTCACAGAAAAGAATTCCTTGGAGAAGGGGGAGTGGTATCAGTGAACACAGGCCCAGCAAGTGGGTGAGCAGTGACTTGTTTTCCTCCCTCCTCGTCGCTCCTTACGATGCGACTGCTGTGTTTCAGCTGAGCAAGTGACCCAGTGCGTACGGTCAGCCTGCTCCAGCTCAGACCTAAAGCTTTAGATTGAGCAAAGCTTTGTGTTACTGCCCAGAAAACACCAAGCACGACTGAGCTGGCGCTTGCCGGTATCTCGAGGTCTCTCTGCTGTTCCTGGGAAGGGGAGGAGGGCACACCTTTTCCCCGAGCCTGTTCACGTACCTCCAGGATTTCATCCTTAAGCACTGAGAGTTCGTTGGCATTTCGCGCGGTGAAGTCGTAGCGGATTTTGGCATATCTCTTCGGCGGAGCCATTCCCTGTGCCTCAAAATTCCTGCAGGAGAAAAAAAAAAGGGAGTTTGAACGGAGGCCCATCTAATAACTGGGGCAGTGTAGGTTCACTGGCAAAGGAGGAGCGGTGAAGACTGTGCCAGTGCAGGCAGAGAGCCAGCTGTGCTTGTGTTAGGAGAGGGTAGTGCCCTTTGCTCCTCGATTTTGAGGAAGATTTTCACCCGTTATTTGAGTGAAACATCCTGTGATTGGAAACAAACAAGCAAAAAGCTGTAGGGCTGGTTGGTTGGTGGCCCCCCTGGGGGACCGCAGGGCTGCTGCTTTCAGGGTGGAAGAAAGGACTTCTTCCCCTGTCAGATGCTGCTCTGCAAGGGCTGGGAAGACTGAGAAAGCACAAAAATGCTCTGATTGCACCTCCTGTGAAAAAGTGAGTGTGAAACCCTCGTGTCCTGATTAGTGGAAACAGCTGCCCCATATGCCAGAGCAGGGGAGAAGCAGGCGCCAGCGCTGGGAGAAAGGGTGTTGAAAAGGAGTGGAGGTAGAACTGACTGGAAGGCTGTGGGTTTTCATCAGGCAACGAATGCTGAGCTGCTGAAACTGGCTCCTGCGGGTTCCCAGGAAAAGTGAGTTTGAGTGTTTCTGTTCTAAGATACATTTGGGGGGAAAAGGAACGTGTTTAAGTATTTTGCTTGGGGATTTCTGACACGGTAATATACGCTTTCAGTGTGGAACTGACTTTTCATTTGGAGAGAGAGACAAAATAAATATGGTAGACTGTCAAAGCGGAAAATGGCAGAAAAAGTGCAATGAAAGGTTCCTTTGACCCAAACTGAAACGGCTTATTTTTTCGTAGTTTCTTTTTTTGCCTGGCTTAGGAGAATTTTGCAGATCTCATCCTTTTCTTCTCTGGTTAGGGTGAGTGTAGTGTTGTTTTTTTAATTCCAAAAATGTTTGCAGTATGGCAAAACTGTCTTGCCTTGTTGTGTAAGGGCAGGTAGGAGATACTTTAATGCACCTTCTGTGGCTCTTTCTGCTTATGACCTGCACAGCTACGCGGTGCAGGAGACTCCCGGGTGCTGTATTGACAGTGGGTATGCGCGCAGGGGGGCAGGTTCTCCTCCAGTTTATGTGAACTTCTGGGTAACTGGGTGAAGCCAGCCCTTCCAGCACTGCTAGCAACTGCGGCTTTTAGCCTGGTGTTTTTTCATTGCCAAGTTCTTGGGTTTGGTCAATGATTTTAAATCTATGATCTGAGGGAACTCGGCTCTTTGTGGACTGCTTCTGAGGCATCTGTGACGCCTGACTTCAAAGCAAGCCCATCGGGCTGAGTTTCAGTTCATTTTACTGTCTTCATTCAATAGCTTTTGGTGGTCTGAAAAAGGTTGAACCCACTGGTTCGGTGATTTGATCCCGTGGCTGTGGTGCTGTGTTTAGCTCGCTTGACTGGGGACAACTCTTGGTCTAGTTACAGACACGTACAATACATAAATTGTAAGTATGAGTGGGGGAGAGCTTGGAGCAGAGTCAGGCTGAATCCACCAGTCAAGAAAGGGAGTGGTGGCCTTGCCCAGCAGTGCCCTGAAGGCAGGGAGGGGAGGAAAGCCCGAGTTAGGTAGAAATTACTTCTTTTGTAGCATTCCAGAAGGTAAATGAGTCGTGAGGGAAGAGGTGAGGAGTTTGGGGCTAATATTTACTTTGTATGCACCTAGGTTTTACACAAGTGACCTTGGCTGAATATTGTAATGTTGTTTGGGGCTTTCCTGATACTTCTCTGCAGCCAGAAGCCCTGGTGTAAATAAACGTACTGATGCATGGGTGTTTTCGCTAATGTAGGGTTTCTTGGTTAGAAAACTAGT